GACTCAGTCATTTCTGATCAAGCGGTATTTAAATGGTATCGGGTATTTAATTGAAAAAGTCATCAAGTTGGCATCCATTTTTGTAAACATTGTAAAGTATGTGTATTGTGTACAATAAACCTAAAATTGAATCGATGACACCTAACAAGGTGGAAATATCAACAATATGGATTAACAGAACACATGCGTTACTCCGTTTCCTTTTGTCAAAAAAGTAACGCTATTGAACACCTGTCATAACTCATAAATAAATTAAGTCTTGGATCTCGGGTGTTCTATGTGATTTGTCAAGTAGTAAAAACATTCGGCATATCTTCAAATGTTTAAAGTCTGAATCTGATCTTGTGTTTCTTACTTTTAATTGACCAACGTATTTCTGAAATTTGGTGTTCACCATGACAATATTGAAAATAATATACTGAAAATATATTACTTTCAATCAGTTGTTTAAATTCTTCTATACTTTATAAATCAGTTTTGTTAACAACATTTTCATTATTCACAAAAGAACGTCCAAATATAAATTTGTATATCATATCAACTTCAGGCTGAATAGTTTTTTTCACGCTGACAATATTTTCATTTATTTCTTTCATTTCAGATAGTAAAGTCAAATTGTCTCTGACACCAACAATAATCATATTGTGGCATACATCAGTATGCCTCAACTTTTAGACAGTCTGCATACTATGCTTTTATTCCATAATTCTTCAAAAATTAATTTATGAGGGTCACGTATTGCTTCTACATGATCAAGTTCTACAATAATATACAGAGTGTCCCAGTTAAAACTCCGCGGCCTTATATCTTAAGAACGGATAGAGATAAAATTCTGCAACCGCTATAGTTTTTAGCTTGAAGGGGAAAGTTTAAATCTGTACAATAAATATGTCGCATATAGTATAGCACCGATGTCGCGACGCAAACATATTTTGTTTAAAGTGCAACGCATTTTTTTTATCGAATTTTGATAGACCGTTATATTTCCGAGATTATAATGATATACAAGCACTTAGACATGTCTTTCATTTTAGATTGATAGAAATAATAAATTTTATAAACATAAAAAATTAAGTTAGATCAGAAGTAATGAGGAAAGCGGACCGAAGAATATACTGATTATTAAGTCAACGTTTCGAGACTGTACTTTTTCTTCTTTAGGGCTAGTAATCACTTTAAAATATTATATTTAACATTGCTATTTAATAAGTTAATACATGAATAAAATTTTCGTTAAAATGGTTGAATGACAAAATGAAAATAAAAAAAAATAATAAAAGACAAATTTTATTATGAGGAAAATAATTCCTCTAGATTAAACTAAAGCGAATAGTGTCTTTATAATTGTTTTCTGGTACAAAACTTTTGAAAATTATATATAATACTGCATAGAAAAGGTTGTCAGTAAAATTTACAACCACAAATACAAAATCGGTTTTGCAGTTTCAAAATTAAACTGTAAAATTGAGTTGGGTAATTTTGATTTTTTTACAAAAAGCTATGTGCGTATAGTCAAAAACAGTGGTAGATTAATAAATAACAAATATAGATATATACTATTTAGCACATTTTATGTAAGATTTAATTCGCAAAATGTTAAGATGACGTCAGCAAATTTTTGGAGTGGACAATTCTAAAATTTCACAACAATCTGCTCAGTCTTTTCGGGGAAGAATTATCCAATAAAATGGGTAATAGGCGACAGATGATAGACAGATGAAAACAGGAGACATATATTTTAATATCCTAATAGCTATGAAAATGCGAAAGAAAACTAGACAGTCTGTTATATAGGATTATGTGGAAAATTAGACTAATGCTTATCTTAGATATGTATTATTTAGATAAGTGGCCAAACATTTTCCATAAAGCAGTCGATATATCTAGTAATAGTAAAATAAAGTCATAATTGTACGCCAAAACCGGATAAGTAGGTAATAATTTTGAATAATAATATAGCTCATAAAATTATTGTTGTAATCAAGTAATTCAGTTAAAATTAGAAAAAAACTGCTTTTAAATTTAAAGGATCAAGGTACGATTGAGGGGAAGTTTTGGTGATAAATGACTGATACATACGTAACTAATGATTTATAAATTTAGTGAAGAATAACTGGGCTTCTTACAGTTACAATTATTATTAATTTTTTTGCCAAAAGTGGCATCACTTTAACATATAATGTTCAAGTTGTACTTCCTTCTCAGAGCTTATAAGATAATGCCTGGAATTATTATGCCACACTAATCTGGACAGAGTTATAAAATTGTCTCAGGTGACAGCAGATATGTACTTTTATTCAGTGTTTAAAACGTTTTCTATTTAATGAGTCATTATTGCACTCATAAAAGAAAACAAGGCGAACTGTTACTACAAGATTATTTTTTAAACATCTGCCAATTTTGTGCCTTTTTTCCGTCAAACAAGATCTCCCACCTTTCAAAGAACGCCCAGCTATAGTCACAGAATTCTTACAAAATTTGCTAGAAATTCAGCACAGAGTTCATGTCATCTGTTCAACTAAAGCCACTTTTTTGCATATGTAAACGGAAGTGTACAAAAGCCGGTTGAGATATCTAATAATAAATGAATAAATTACACAAATTGAACAATCTAGTACCAGCATTTTACTTGGTGTAATTATTATAAACCAAAAACACTTGCATTTGAAGCAGAAGTACTTATAATGTTAAGAAATTCGGTATACTGTGGACAGAATGAAATGCAAAACACTACAGAAGGCATCGACAGACGTGCCGTTATTAGATTGTGTGTAATATTAGTACACATATGTCGAAGTTCTGCGTTTTAACGACCAACTGTCAACTCATACTGGTCCCAGTGTCCGCCTTTGTTTTTAACTATTAGCGGCACTTGAGCCATCTGTCCGACCATCCGTTGCCATTTTATTAGATTTCATCGCAATAACTTTTGAAAATTCCATTCTCGTGTTCGACTAGTGATATCAGCCGATGTATGGTAAATAAATAAATCAGTACTCAATTAACTTTAGAAAAAGAATGAGCCGATAGGTACACAGCAGGTGACCACGTGTCACTGACAGATGATAGTTTAATGAGACAAGTGGCCATGGTGACTTTTAAAGCTTCAAGAACAGGGTTCGTAAAAATATAAAGCTTTCTCGAACGATATTTATTGCGGGGTTATTTAAAAAGGATCGAGCGGGTAACGAGAGAAGTAGTATTGGAAGATAACTTGAAAACAGGTAGAAAGCGGCAACTGTTATTACCGCATTATCTCTGGCGTGTATAAATAACATACTGAAAATCTAAAATTATTTACTTACTGTCTTATTGCACAAAAAAATAGTGAACGATAAAAAACGGCCTTTATTCATTGCTTTCAAAAGATTAAAACTAATGAATTTAAACCATTTTTGTTTTCTTTGCAATTTGCACAGAGAAATAATAAATCGTAAGATAATCGGATACTATACCGTATGATTTTTTTAAATTTGACATTTGACTCTGAAAACAAAAGATGTGAAAGACGTAGAGAGCTTGTTGTCAAAAAGGAGACTTTTCTGTTGAAAAAAATGAATATACCGAAAAACACTACAACGCGATCAGTGTTTTATGAAGTTCCTTGAAACATTCTGTGAACAGCATTTCCTGCAGAAGCATGTTATTTTTCAACGTAATAAGCTTGTATTTGCGACTCATTTATCAAACAAAGCAACCGATAAAAGCTGCGTTGAAATAGGTAGTATTTCATTTGTTATTTGTTGTTTCAGTTACTCTGGAGCACGGTTGTAGAATAGATAGGTTTGTACACTAATGGCTTGGGATGGCGACGCTTCTTTTCGATCCCTATATCCATGGAAAGGACACATACAGCTAGCGCCTCTACCTTGTCGAGCGGAAATCATTCTAGTTATTTTGGGGATTTTCGTTTACATTGCTTTATGAACAATGCAAAATTTTTAAATGACATTTGATCGGAGTCGATAAGTAGGATTTCTTTTATTAATTACATCGGTTATAGACAGATGCCTATAGAGTTCTGTGTCCCTAAAACGTCAAAAACCAGGCGACGCGATCGGCAATTGGCGTCGCTGACCAGGGATATGCAAATGTATGCTAGTGTATCAACCTATCTATTCTACAACCGTGCTCTGGAGTTTCCGAAAGAGGCAATGAACGTCTCAACTACCACTGGCTCTTATATCGTAAAGGAAAATGTAAATTCACTTAGCAACTGTTTTACTCCAGAAGTTACAGAACTAATAATGATAGTGCATATGCAGGGTGAGAAAATAGTCTTGGAACGATCAGTTATATTCACTATTTGAAAAGTGATTTTTCTGAAATTTTGCCTTCAAATAAACATAGTTTAAGCCTTTTTTTTCGTTCTTTAGGAGTAACGAAACGTCGAGAAAATATGAAAGTAGTCATTCCTCCGATGAACTCCTTAGCTTACGTTCTGGAAGTAAAAAACACCTGTTCTGGAAGTAAAAATCACCTGATATGTACGTACATATATCAATATATGTATATGCCATAATGTCATAAACCAAAAACTCGATCGTTTCCAAGGAAACCAAGGTAAAACTCTGTTTCTCTCTCTTTACTTTTTTGGATTCCTCACAGCAAATACAAAGAAGTGCATGCCACATTAGTTGTAATTGCAAAAGTTAAAACCTTTTTTCCATGGGTATGGATTTTAAAAATTAGACTTTTAACCTGGCAAAGGTAGCGTGCGAAATCGTGCTCGCAAAGCATGAAAGTACTCGGTATTACGTGAACTTTGGACGCGAGATAGTTGACGATGGCCGTAAGTATGAGCGAATGAGACAGGGAGAGGAGGTACGGAAGAAGTAAAAGAGCGATCGGGAGGAAGCGAACAAAGAAGACACAGAGCGAGAGCCAGAGCTGGTCGCTACTCCTCTAGATTCATGCGAAAGTACGCGAATTGCTGGTTTAAGGCTCCCACAGACCAACGCGGTACCGCGGGAGCGGGAGCGGTAGCGGGAGCGGGAGCGGGAGCGGGAGCGGTAGCGCGGGAAGCGGGAAAATTGTACCTATTCACACCAGAACATATTAGTTCAGTTGCGGTAGCGGCAGTATTTTTTGATTTCCGACGAAAACATACACAAATAATGAATTTCTCATCAGATGAAGAAGATCTTTTATTACTTGCCGTCGCAGAAGATGAAGAACATAATAAGAGGTTTGTGTTAGCTTCTGTTTGTTATTAATAAAAATAAAAGGTGCCACAGGAAGAAGCGAAAATGGATCCATGACATTAATTTGGACCGGGAAATTTTCGGGGAATTTCACACTTTAATGCCGCAACTTAGAGCAGACCCAAAACGATTTTACATATACTTCAGGATGACAAGTGATTGTTTTGATGCTATACTAAATTTTATTCGAGCCGATATTCGTAAAAGTGATACAAATTATCGAGAGGCGATTAGTCCAGAAGAACGTTTTGCAATCACATTAAGGTAGGAAAAGTAGTAAATACTTTATTATGCATGTTTTAACAAAACGTAAAAATACAAAAACTCTTCTTAAATAACAGTTAAGTATTTATTTACTGTGGAATAAAGACTGCACGAACGAAGCAGCCGATGAAGTAGAATAATTATTGTATTGCGGGTATTATAGTGGAGGTGCCCCCATATCACTATAGTTACTGGTACTAGTCCCAGGTCTATTGTTGTATTCGTTATCTGATGAACCAGCATCCAAAGGTGTTAGCAGTGAAGAACTTGTGTAACTAGTGGCAGCAGAGGAAGGTCTACTTTTGTGGTGATTATTGCCCATTACTTCTTCTAGATGCTGACATTCTTGTTCTGTCATGATTTCTGCGATTTTCATCTTGACGTACGCTTGTCTGCGTGGGGAAAATGTTTGAATAGTTTCTGAATACCCCATAAAGATCATATCAGTGGGTGATATTTTTTTCTTACGTTTTTCTTCAAGATAGGCTATCACTGTATCGACGGCAGAACCGGATCTCTCCTCTGCTTTAACACTGCTTCGTCTTTTCTGACGTGCTGATTGATTACTTGAAGATGTAGACGCTACTACCCTTTCCTGAGATGCTTGAGATGGTTTTGGAATAGTAGTATTCTTGATATGAGTACGGTCACTGGTAGTATCTTCGATATCGGTATCTTCTGTTTCAACAGTTTGTGAGTAATCCGATTCTGATACAGTTGTGTTGTTAGTAAGTTGTTCCGTATTTTCACCCACGTCAACAGGTTCTGAGACGTTTGTGTCAGTGTTCGCAAAAGCCAAAAATGGTTTGAAATGTTCCATGAAAGGAGCCCACTGCCAGTTTTTGTAATTTTTCTTTGCGCTCTGACCTGTCCTTGTCTTCTTCGATTTTAGATATTTTGCATAGGAATCTCTTAAATTTTTCCATTTCTTCTTTACGTCCTCCCCTAAAACAATTTTTTATGTATTTCAGATTCCTTGCCACTGCTGACACATATTACACAATTGGTCACAGTTACCGTGTTGGATTCTCAACTGTTGGTCAAATAGTTAGGGAGGTATGTGAAGCAATTTGTCAGAGATTGCAAAATATAGCTATGCCAGAACCAAATGAAGAAACGTGGAAAAAAGCAGCAGAAGGATTTGAAACACGTTGGCAATTTCCAAACTGCATTGGCAGTATAGATGGAAAACATGTAACCATCAAGTGTCCACAAAAGAGCGGATCAAATTATTTTTGTTATCTAAAAAAATTTTCTATTGTACTGATGGCCATTGTTGGGCCTGATTATAAATTTTTATGTGTTGACATTGGAGGTTTTGGAAAAAATAGTGATAGTGGCATTTTTGAAGCATCTAACATGGGAATGAAATGTGAACTAGGACAAATGAATTTTCCACAAGACAAAAACTTGCCAGGTCAAACTGAACCGTGTCCTCATGTCTTTATAGGTGACGAAGCATTCGCTTTGAGACCATATTTAATGAGGCCGTTTCCCTACAGACAATCCCGATCAAATATTCGTAAAGAAAAATATAATACTCGGCTTTGTCGAGCAAGGAGAGTAGTAGAGAATGCTTTCGGTATTTTGGCTCAGAAATGGAGAATTTTTTACAGGCCTTTAGAAACCTCAGTAGGCACCACAGTAACTATTGTAAAAACAGCATGTCTTTTACATAATTATCTAATTTTAACAAACTCCGATGATCAATATTTTGAGTTTTTAGAGCCACCAGAAGATAACATAGAAGCTTTTACAAATCTTGGAAATGATCCGAGAAGAGCCTCAACCATATCATTTGAAGTACGTGAAAAATTTGTCACATTTTTTAATAATAATTAACTGATGCTTAATGTACATGTCTTTTGCTAAACACTATCTACTGAATGTAGGTAATATGTAACTCAATAGCCTAACTGTAAGATTATATCATATAAAAGAATCAAACCTAGTTATTTTAAGAAATTATTTAGTTGTACTTACCACTTTCATCCAATTCGACGCCTATTTCGTCCCAAATTTTATCGCGCTTTCTAATATTTTTATACTCAGAATTACCCAAGTCATACAGAATTGGATATTTCTTAACACTTTCGATAAGTTGCTCTGTACTCGACGGCATTGTATCACTTACTAAAGTGGCGGGAACAAAGCGGCAGCGGGAAAAATGCTGCATGCAGCGTCAACAAAATCTATCGCTGCCGTCCCGCTTTAGCCAACGCGGGAAATCGCTTTTGTTTGAATGTTGTCATATCCCGCAATGTAAGTTTGTCCCGCTACCGCTCCCGCTACCGCTCCCGCTCCCGCGGTACCGCGTTGGTCTGTGGGAGCCTTTACGCGTCTCTCAAGAGACAATACGATGGACGTTGGAGAAATATCAGCTACAATATAGGGGATTATGTGTGGAAACGGGAGTAGGGAGGCATAAACGTATACGAGCTGAAGGGTGCCGGTGGAAAAGATCCCGGGTGGCATGTAAAAAATTAAAGAAAGCGGAAAGAGAGGGGTTAGAGAAAGCCAGTATGGGGGAAATGGGGCCGTCGGCGAGTAATGAGTCGGGGGAGAGTAGTGAGTCGAGTAAATGACAACCCGGAGGCGACGTTCGTGCTCTCTTGGGCGGTGCAGAAGAACGTGTTAGAGATTGGCCAGACGTGAAGCTCTTGTCTACTCGCTGGCCTGGACGGGAGGTGCAATGCTGATACACGAAAGTGGATTAATGTTTGGTGAACTATTACGGTTCACGGTGGAAGATGTCTGAGACCTATAGGGAGTGGTATAGACGCAGTGGAACAACGGCATAACTCGATTAATTCGTGATTAAAGACGTAACGGGCATGAGGGTTTGCGCTCTGTTGGGCGGGGCGGAAGACTACATCAAGGCCGGGTACTGGCGGCAGTAAAAATCCATCAAATGACTATTCGGAGGACACGTAAACTGGAAGAGGGTTCGTGCTCTTTTGGGTGGATCAGAAAGCTACTCCAAGGTTAGGTACTGGCTGTGGTAAAACTCCATCAAATGACAACCCGGTGTTAGAGGCTGCCTGGACACGGAGCTCTTGCCTGCTCGCTGGTCTGGACCAGCGGTGCGATGCCAATACGCGAAAATGGATTATTGGTGGGGTTAGAAGGACGAGATAGTACATGGGGATGGTTGCGATAAACGACTCCGATTCATGATCGATTTCAACGGTCGCAAATTTTGTGAATAAGTTTATTTAGCCGTCACCAACGTGTTCACTAGATAGGATGAAAGTAAAAAGAACATCGACAGGCCTCGCTTAATTCCTGATTTGAAACGTGTAATTACCGGATGGAGACGTGTTATGTTGTCGATAGCTCATGCTAGATTTACCCATCGTTGGGAGCCTGCCTATGGGTAAGTGCCGAGACAAGCAATTGGTTAGCGCCGTTTTTTTTTTGAGGGGGTGACCCGAGAATGAATCTAGACCGATGATTTTGAAGTTTGAGTTTTGTTAGTATAATTGCGAAGTTGCGGTGTGAACATGTTAAGAAACCAGTGTTTCCTCTATTGAATTTACCGACGGTGAGGCCCGAAGAGACCGAAAGACACTTGGCAAGGGCCGGAGTGATCCAGATTGGAACTCAGGAAGGTGTCCCAGCTTAATTGTTGATTTGTAAAAGTATGGGCTGGATAGGTTCGAGGTTTTTGTGTTGTAATAGAGGATGGTGACATAGGAATAATTGTGTCTGGGGAGAGAATCTGATTGTGAAACTGATCCGCGCAGGGAATGGGGTACCTCGGTTTTTCGTGTGATTGTGGTGATTGTCCACTTCTACGACTGACCACGACGCGCCATTTCCACCCAAATGCGAGGAGGTCGTCGACGAAACGAACCTCTGACGAATCGAGAAGAGTTTGCTCTGGTGCTCGGAGGAACTCTAAGAATGTCTCATTAAAAATTTTTCTAATAGGTTACGGAGGGATTAGTTCTAGTATTTCTTATTTGAGAGTACTATAAATTTACTAGGTGAGTTGTACACCCGAAACTTCACTTCGAATTTGTGAAACTAGTACAGTGTTGCATAGCCGAGAAGTCTTAAAAGTCCCTATAACAGCAATTTTACTTTGTTTATTTTTTTTATCCAAGAAGGGGGCACGCGTTACTGTTTGAGTTTAATATGTTGTCTATACCTGAGCGAGAGTGACAGTATCAAGCAAGAGGAGCAAGAGTGAAAGAAAGGATAGGGTGAACACAAAGTTGAATGTGAGGAGGGATGAACGCGATTGGATTGTAAATCGTCCATTTCCCTTATCACCACTGACATGAAGAGTAATATATTCAATTCGAACGATATAACAACGGTTTCGCATCCCCACAACAAAGGGCCGAAAAAGTAAGACCACGACGTAAGTAAAGTGCTGGTGTGAGTTGTCACCTAATCCAGGTTCTCCTTTGCTGTAGTGAGATTTTGAGAACGACCTAGGTTTCAAGGTTTGGTTTTTTCCCCTTGCTTCTGTTTTCCTACTTGGGCTTTGTGCCACTTTTTTCGCTACTCCCGAAGACTTTTTGGATTCCGAAGAACCAACGAAGATATTGACTCCTGTGGAACACCGCGCCAATCTGTCCGCCAGCAACCGGACCGAGCTGGACTGCTAGCCAGATTTACCCATCGCCTACTGAAAAATCGTTTCTGCAGGTCTGAGGGGTTGGAGACTGGGCCTCGTACCGCACCCAACAGCCAACTGGATCCTTCCACAGGGTGAAGCAAAAGGAGAACAAGAGAAGTTGGAGTATTGTAGGGTCGTCACGGACGGTCCCACGCTGATATGAAGTATTGTGAAGTATTATTTACGCGTCCTTGCGGCGTCAGTGTTTGTACCTGAAACACCCAATGAATGTTGTTTGTGTAAAAAGGTGTTTGTTAACCCTACCCCCGGCAACTTTGGTCTGTCGGCACATTTGTGTCTAACAGTACCCAGAACCAAGACATTTATTAGAAGTCTTTTAAACACTTATTCGTAATAATTTATTTTGTGTTTTATCAACTGAAGTAATAGTACAAGACACGGTTGTAGAATAGATTAGTTGATACACTAGCGTATATCCGTATACCTATCCCTGGTCAGTGACGCTAATTGCCGATCGCATCGTGTGATTTTAGAGCACCAAGGGACCCTAATGTGACTCGATTTTAAAAAGTGTGGCAAATAGTAACCTTTATGAAATAGAAATAGATCTCTGTCCTTCTTACGCTCCGTGTTTTTGACAGCAGATGTTTTTTGCCTCCAGGATGGGGATCCTGTTATTGTCATTTGGCTGTCAATTTTCTTGCGGGTAACACGTCCTCCACGACTGTTTGCCGGTTGCCGGTAACGCTTCCTCGGTGCTTTCTCGTTGTATCGGGTTGGAGTTAGTTTGGGACTGGAATAGTGTTCTTTTCGGTCCATCGACTCGATAATTCTGGTACAATAAGTATGTCGTAACTTCAAATCGTAAACACAGCAAACTTGCTTTGACAGTTCCTAGTCCTACTTAACTCAATTGACTTATACGTAGTAAAACTTTTATGACTTAAACTAAACCGCTCTTATAGTTATAATATAAGTCAATGGATTATTACTGTCCATTGTTGTCATAACTGAGTTGTAAAGTTTTGCTAGGTATAATTATGTCAACTAAGTGAAGTTATACAATAGCCAGTTTGACTTATAAGGCTGGTTTGGTTTAAGCCTCTTAAGTCATACAAGTTTTACTAGGTATATGTCAAGTGAGTTAAGAGTACTATATCACAACCAACAAGTACTGTTTGAGTTGGGAAAAGAATTAACCTATTCTGAAGAAATTTCTTTTCGTTGCTATTGCTAAACCTGATGCAAATGCTTGGTGCTACGTCACTTTAACGCGCTCAAGAAAGTTTTGTTATAACATTTTACTAATACATAATCAATAACAAATTTTGACGTAAATTAAATATTACTATCAACCATGTCAGTTTTGACAACCGTAGATATCGTGGAGTAACGGGTCTACCAATTTCAAGCAAAATTCATTGGCGTCACTAAAACAGTACTTGTTAATCACGCTATAGTTTCGGTAATAGGCGTAGAAAAAATTACATTAACGTTTGTAACATATGGGCATATATTTAATTTTTTAGAATTGTATAAACAAATTTTTATTAAACGCTAAATAAAGTAGGTATAATATGTAAACCCTAAGTAATAGACTCTTTTCATATCTTTCGTTATCGAGAATGCAATGCAATAATTATTATTTCAGAACTAATTTGGTACAAAAAAAAAGTGGCGAGTTTCATAATTCAAATACAAGTACGTAAACAAGTTGGACAGAGAAACATGCTTTAAGTAAACACGTTGACCATCTGCAAATCAATGAAAATTGGTTACGTGATTCAAATGAAAGTGATAAATATTCGCACAGGTGTTCAAATGTTTAGAATAGTTGCGTGTTAATTTAAACATTTGGCATATTGTGGACATGTTGAAAATAATACTCAGAAAAACCAAACGAGATAAATAGTACAAGAAACAATATTTAATGACCACAACTTGTACCAGCCACAAGTGGCTATCTTTATCGATGGTTCAATTTTAATTTTATTGTATAGTTACATAATATACTTCTGCAAACGCCATATGGCTTCCGTTTTGTGGATGTTGTATAGAGTCTGTACTTTTCAGACTAATGACTCGGAAATTCTGCTTTCGCGTGGTTAGATTGATAGCTGTTTGTATTCTTGATAAAAAATCTAAACGTGGTAATTATTGTTTTCAAAATTTTCCTTTATTGTACGAAATTCTCGATTAAAACATTTAAACAAACATTAACGTCATATAAAAAATGTTAAAAAGAAAAATTAATAATTAATATCTTTTCAGGAGTCAGGCAATCATAACCAAAGAAGTACAAAACGTGAGGATCAAGTTTCTGTATCCATTACATTATTTTATGTCACTTTAACTTACGAACGATAAATTATTTGGTTTTAATACTAACAATTTTCATATACAAAAACTTGTAAGTATCTAGTTGATCTCATTTTTACAAGAAATCAGAAATTAGAGCACAGAACTGAAGAAAATTTCAGAAAAAAAAACACCCCATGCATTGAAATTTCAACAAATCGTTGATGCTTTTTGACAATTATTATGCTGTTAGCTTCTTGGACTAAACTATAATGAGATTATTCGTATGTCAGCGCACCTTATGTCGGTTATAAATCGACAGCGACGACACTTGTAACAGCTGTACTACCAGCAATAAGATTTCAGGATCGTGATTTATGGAAGTCACCACTAATGACTTGTTTCCAAAAATCAGTCGATGATTGGATATTAAGCTAAAAATATTCAGTGTTTAAAAACATAAATTATTTGTTCTATTAACTAATGAATCGTCGATATTGCGTCAGTATACTTAAAGGGTCAGTTTATAGAATATTTTAATTGAGATTAAATTAATCATACATTTAATGAGGCGTTTAGCTACGTCTGACAGGCGTAGAGTCGGTCACATGGTACTTTAATGCCGGATTAAAAATGTATGAAAACTCAGAGTAACGCTACTTGTTATGTTTACAGTTTTATTAGTAAGGGCTAGTTTCATAATCGCAACTTAAAGAACCTTTAACTAATGGGAGCTTTAAACCATTGTCTCAACAATGTGTTTCCATGGTAAAAATCCAATTTTAATTTGAAAGTTCCTTTAATTTGATTACGAAATCGGCCCTAAATAAATAATAATTTAACAAAATAAAATAATCTCAATGAATATCTTTATCTCGTGTTACTCTTTAATCTCTTTTTTTATTAAAGATTGATGCTGCAATGTTACAAAATTCTACAAAAAAACAGCACTGCAAGTTAATGAACTGTTTACTAGCTTTCTCAAATTAGTTTAATAAAAATTAATGAAAATGTTGCAATATCTAACATTTTATTATTATACCCATGTATAGCGTAGGTAGCCTGTAGCGGACTTCTTGCTAGATGTGCTGGATTCCCTAATTAACGTTGAGAAATACCACTCTCCTCCACTTCTTTAAGATCGCGCAGGTGTTCACAACACACTATCGTTTCAGTTCCGTCTCTGGGTGATTTTTTTACCAAATGTTTTTTGTTTGTCAGTCACGACTGGTTTTGCTGCTTCCTTGCACAATTGTTGCCAGTTTCGCGACATGCTGTTGATCGGAGAATGGCTTATAAAACTATGAAATGTTTCTATCGCATGTATGATACAAAAACCTTATAAGAGTATAGAAACTAAATTCAATTACAGTTAATTTTGCGATCCAATTAAAAAAAATTGTAGTCAGTAGTCAATAAAAAATGTACAATTGTCTATACGTTTCACAAATACATATTATATTTTTTGCACTCGCAGGAGTAAAAGTCGGTTTCTATGACGGCAAAATCGGGAGAACATTTACTCTCTAGGGAGAGAAATAGAATATTTGCTCCCTAGAGGGAGAAATACATAAACAAATTTAATTTAGCAGGCGAAGAATTCAGTACAGCAACTTCAGCAGTATCACGAATCTCTTACGGATCTTCGTTTTGTATTTTGATAAAAAAAATCACAGTTATTGTTTACAAGGTTTTTTCTTATTGTCATAACATAGGATCCAAAGGCTATTATGATTACTATTTTATTAATCATATCACCTTTTATCAGTTAAAAGACTGCGTATGAGTCTCTGCGAGTGCAAAAAATTGTAGGTATATACGCCTCAGGAGCGAACTGCAAATCATGTATTTCCCTCCCAGGATGTAACGGATAATCAAAAAGTTTTTAGATTAGATTTGGCCATGGAAATATTTGTCATGTCTTTGAATAAACTGCAAATGTCATGCATAACCTCATTTGTATTTCGATAATTTGGATTTTTGACATTTGCATTTTAATCAAAGACATGACAAATATTGTCATGGCCAACTTGAATCTAAAAACTTTTTGATCACTTCATCACTAATCTACCATTCATAAACTCTAGGAAAGAAAGATCAGAATACATTTTTATTTGAACATTATGGGTTTTAATTACTGTATGTGTGTTATATACACAGATTAAGTATAAAAAACGAAATTACCAAAAATTTGAATGAATCGTGATAGACAAATTTCATGTTTTGGGTGTAATAACTTTATTTCCCAAGCAGTGGCGACAAAAGCTAAATGTAATGACCTAATGACTCGTATAGTATACAAAAATGAAATAAAAAATGAAGTCAGAGAGGAAATGTATATAGAATATGCAGATTGATTGACATAGTGGTACGACTCTAAAGAACTTTTGATGTATCCATATAAATTAATCACCTTTTTCCAATTTCATTTTGCGTGGAAATGAATTTTTAATGACAAAAAAAATTGTACGAAAAAAATTAAATTTCCTTTTGAAGCTTTTGCATTTTTGTTGTGATACTCCACTAACGAAAAAGTGAAGCACAGATAAAATTTTTCGAATACTCAGGAGAACAAGAGAAAATGGCCGAAATATTCTAGAAGAAGATCAAAAACAACAACAAATGAAGAAACACAAACTCAAGTTGTTACAGCAGTTGAAAAAGTCCTCCCACAAGTCCAACAGTTTGTCAAATTTTAAAAATAAATCGAATCCACCTTTATCACGTTATGCTGGTTCAAGATGTTAAAGAAAATTATTTTCTTCCGCTAATAGAACTTTGTAATTTCATGTAGTAGGAAGCAAATATGTACATATTAATAGATAATGATTATTATCATTAATATGAATGCATTTTCAAAATGTTTATTCTGTATGTCAACCATACCATACTGGATTACCGTGCTCTTTTGCCTTATGCCTGCTCCAGAAGATGCCACTTACGAAAGTGTGCGAAACGTTGACCCAAAAACTCAATTAACACGGTTC